AAGAGAATAGTTTTTATAAATGTAAGAGCAAAATTTTTTTAATATTTTGAGATGGATATTAATTTTTGTTCATTGTCATCTTTATAATAATAATAATAGGGCCTTTACTATAATAAAAAGTTCTGTTTCTATTTTGTTATCTGCGAATATCCGTTTATAATTTTGAACTGAAAGTCTAAAGAGTAGATAATTAACAACACACACCAACAAGCGTTTAGCTACTCTTTTTCTGATTGAATAGTGGAATTTGACTGTCACTTTTATAATGCACTCAAGGCTTCAAAGTGTGCAATGCGTTTTTACGGCAATCACGTCCTCGAATTCACCGTCTTTAGAAAAGCTAACCATTAAGCCGTGCCCAACCCAAAAATTAACTAAAAAAATAACGCTTTTGATTTATCTTGTCTTTAGTACTTTTGATGGATTACGAAAACAACGTGGGTTCAAAAATTTAAACTGTGGCCAGGAAGCGAACTGATACTGAGAGTGTGTTCATATAGAACTAGCAAGAGATTGCTTATTGGATAATAATCCTCCCTTTATAACATATGTAATAAGGAAACTATTACGCATGCGTAATTACTTCACTGTTTTTGCTAAACACATTTTTGTTACAAGAAGATGGTTTGGTTTTTTTTGTAATTAAGCACAAAGCTACACAATGGACTATCTGTGCTCTGCCCACCACGGGTATCGAAACCCGGATTCTAGCGTTGTAAGTCCGCAGACATACCGCTGTGCCGTTAGAAAGCTACAAGAAAATGAAACAAAAAAGGGATGAAAAGACTACTGTGAAGGGATTGGATTCCAAATTAAAAGCTGATTCTTGGAATATGGATTTTAAGTAGTCGCTTATTTTGTTTGGCATGCATGGAGCTGGAGGAATATCGAATCAACTTCTTTATAGTAACGAATTAAATTCAAGTTTTTCATAATTGATATTGAAACTGTCGGTACTCGGTGAAACTCCATAACTACAGAATAGAGGGGGAAAATAAAGACAATTGGACGTTTCACAAAAACTTCATTTATTAACGACCTGATGATGCCTTTTCTGGCGAAACCGTGGTCGTTAATAATGAAGCATTTGTGAAACATACAATTGTCTTTCTTTTTTTCCCTCTCAATTCAAGTTTTTATTTATATTTGTTTATAGAATAAATCTCACTTGAATTTAAATTCAACACACTGTGGTGGTTTTAACGTTTAGGATAATCATCTGTTTTATGTCGCTTTAACTCAATAACAGTGCGCCATGTCTACTATTATGAACCTTACCATAATAGTAGACATGGCGCACATGGCAAGTTTAGTTATTATTTTTAGAACAACTGTGAAAACCGAAGCCTGCCATTTTCAGTAACAATGTGCGTCAATAGTTTGGAAGGAAATTAAAATTCTTCTACCCACGTTTGTTTTCATATCGTAAATATTGGTGAAGGATCACCTTATGATCAGGA